GTAGTAAGGCTCAGTTGGCAGGAAGGGCATGATTAAAGCTGTGTGAGTTGAGAAGAATCTTAGACTAGAGCAGCAACTGAGCATAGATTTCCCAGAACTTTTAGGGGCTTTGATGAGATTAAAAATCTTGAGTTTTGGGGTACCTGGGTGGCTTGGTTGAGCGTCCAAGTCTTGATCTTGTCACAGGTCATGATCTCATGGTTTGGGAGATCAATCCCCATGTCAGGTTTTGTGATGACAGCACAGAGCCTGCTTGGGATTCTCTCTCTCCCTCTCTCTACCCCTCCCCTCTTCCTTCCCCTCCTCCCTTCCTTCCCCTCCCCCCCCTCCCCCCAATAAATACACTTTAAAAAAAAAAAATCTTGAGTTTTTGTGGTACAACAGTTCTCAATAGTGTGCTCCTTAGACTTCTGAGGTCCCAAAAGTCCTTTCAGGGTGTCCATGGGGTTAAAACTATTTTCATAGTAACGCTAAAGTCTTCTCACACTTTCTCTGTGCTGCCCTGTGCACTCTTGGTATACAACTGCTGGTGAGCAAGATGGCTAGCACCTTGGCCCAGGATAAGGCAGTGGCAGAGCCATGCCCTCACAGCTAAAAACCAATGCCGAGTGCACATAAGAATGTCTCTGGTGGAGTAGTTAAAAGTACTTGCTTTGTTATATCCCACCCTGCATACATGTCTTTTCCATATTCTCCATGACAGAATGAAAATACAGATACATAGAGCCTGTCTGCCACATACTGAAGGAAGTGTTTTTTTCTCAAAGAAAAGTGCTTGTATAGTTTGAACTGTGGCTGAATTAACTGCTTTTTAAGATCAGTCATCAGTTGGTTTTAAGATTAAGGTTTTGAGGGGCACCTGGGTGGCTCGGTCAGTTAAGCATCTGACTCTTGATTTCAGCTCAGGTCATGATGATTTCACGGTTCGTGAGTTCGAGCCCTGTATCAGGCTCCACACTGGCAGTGCAAACTCTGCTTGAGATTTTCTCTGTCTCCCCTTCTCTCTGCCCCACCCCCCATTCACTCTTTCAAAATAAATAAACTTAAAAAAAAAAAAAAAGTGTGAGAAGCATTGTTGCAGTTGCACAGTTTGAGCAGCTAGATCTTTTTCTCTGGCCTTGCTCAGAAATTCTAGTTAAGGATGGATGTGACAGGTTGCAGCCTCGATCTCGAATGACAGTTTTGTTGGGTAGGTGAGATGGACCCTCAGTGGTGCATGTCTCACTCAGTCGCATGACTCACCCCAGAGTCTGGGCCAAGGAGGAAAGGAAAAAAGGCTGAGGGACCAGAAGGGCAGGGTCATGTTGCTATGTACCCACTGAAATTAAAGAGAAGGTATGGGGTTCTAAGAGGATACCAGGGAAAGTCAGGGATCATCGTGGTCAGATGTAATCAATCCCAGCCTGGAAAGGACTTCAGTCTTTTAGGGGAAATAAAACCTGCATCCAAGGAAGCATATGCACAGGCATAGTGATTCATGCCATCTGAGGGGTGCCACTGGATTTCTGTGTGGCGTGGGAGAAGGGAGTCCAGGCACTCTGACTGTGGAATGAGACCTGCCAGCTGCTTCCCGTTTCTCTCCTTTTCCCCTTCTGCAGCTGTGAATAATGCAGAAATAGCACTAGCAATAAAAGAAAGCTGGAGATCCAGTTATTTTTCAAGTAGCAAAAAAAGCTACTTTGTGATTTTTGCCTGTAGGTTTAAGGGCCTAGAATATAACTTGAAGGAACTATAAAAGGTTTATTTTAGAGCTGCTTAAGCTGCCAAATACCAGCTGCCTTGAAGCACTCCCAACTTAGTACCAGCAGGATTTGGAGGGGAAAAGTATCCCCCAACAGCTTAGAAATAATGCTGTTAGAATCTGTGGCCAGACCCTCCTGGACTTTTCCTGACAGACAATGTCTAATTGGGCAAAAGGCCAAATGACTTCTAATCGCTCAAGAAACTTCTTGCAGAGGGGCACCTGGGTGGCTCAGTCGGTTAAGCACCCAACTTTGGCTCAGGTCATGATCTCACGGTCTGTGAGTTCGAGCCCCGCGTTGGGCTCTGTGCTCAGAGCCTAGAGCCTGCTTTGGATTCTGTGTCTCCCTCTCTCTCTGACCCTCCCCCGTTCATGCTCTGTCTGTCTCTGTCCCAAAAATAAATTAAAAACGTTGAAAAAAAAAATTAAAAAAAAAATAAATAAACATTAAAAAAATTTTTTTAAAAAGAAACTTCTTGCAGAAATGTCTATGAGTTCTTTTGCAGTGGTGAGGGGGAGCAGGTGGTGGTTGGGAACGGTAAATGGATAGATTTGTTACTTGTATTACAGATAGTTAGACTCTAATGCCCAGTAAGTGGTGTGTCATATGTTCCCACATCTACCTGGTGTTCTGTGGGACTTGCATTGGGGCCAGAGATGCCTGAGTTCTTGACCATTATACTGTACTGTCCTGACCCATGAGAGAGTTGCCTCTGAAACCTAGCCCATTCATGGGCCCCTGAAACCCATGTCCATGGCCTCAGGAGTGAATACCTGTCCTGCCCAGACAGTGCTTTAGTCACAGGCCAACGCTCTGAATTCCTAAGAGCCTCCTCTGCTCCAAAAAGTTTTCTAACCTATAAAGCAAAATGTTAGTTTCCTAATTTCCTAAGGTACCCTTGTGTGTATTGAAAAGATTATAGAGACAGAAATAAATTTGAAAATGTACTGTTTGTAGAAATGCAACCTTGTGGACATGAGAAAAGTTCTGTATTATGTGAAATTTCTCATGACATCTGGTATGTGGTTTACCACATTTATTATCTCCCAGTTGCCTTGAAGATAAAGGGCGGGTAACATGCAACAAGAGAAGTCACAAGTAGGAGCCAGACCTGAGCATGCACACACAGGCATGCACCTGCATGCGTGCATGTACATACACATACTCTCATACTTACCCTTTCAGTCACCTCCAGCTCTAAGTGCTTCCCCAGCCTCCATGTCCTCTCTCAAGGCTGACTTCCTGGCACATAACCAGTTGGTCATTTCAGATTCAGACTGTGTACTGGCCTGAACACATTTTTTTTTTAATTTTTTTTTTTCAACGTTTATTTATTTTTGGGACAGAGAGAGACAGAGCATGAACGGGGGAGGGTCAGAGAGAGAGGGAGACACAGAATCGGAAACAGGCTCCAGGCTCTGAGCCATCAGCCCAGAGCCTGATGCGGGGCTCGAACTCACGGACCGCGAGATCGTGACCTGGCTGAAGTCGGGCACTTAACCGACTGCGCCACCCAGGCGCCCCGGTTGAACACATTTTTTTAGTGAGTAAATGACTAAAATGGTTTTCTTTTACCATTCTCTCATGACTTACTGATGTATGCTAATTTGCAGATAGATGAGGTTGAACTAATCAGTTATCACTAAGAAACAAGGCTTCATTGAGTAGATGGCAGTGTTTTTATTTTTGGTTTTGTTTATTGATCACTACGTTCTCCAAAACAGCATTCTTTATATTGCCTAGTAGTATTTCAGACTTGGAGTAAATTATCAGACTTGTTCCATGAAGTCCTTGAATTTTTCAGGGTTTCCACAGGGCTGTGAGCTAAGACTTAAGAGAGCTGGGTAGCTCCTTACCTACTCCCTCTCAGGAGCTTTAATTTAAGAAAAGGACCTGCTACATAAATTGGAAACGCTGTTCTAAGCATCATTAAATAAAAGACCTTATTTTAAAGCTCCCTTTGCTGCTACTTTACCAGAGCAATAATGTCTTTTCTAGCATGTGTTCTTTCTCATTGAAACCTGCTCCTGATAGTAAGTACAGGAACTGTTTGGTCACATTTCCCTTAACCTGTGTTCCAGTTGCTGTCAGCCATGACCTTTGGCTTTCCTCATGGCTTGAAGTGGTGCCTGGATACTAGCCATGGAGGCCACTAGGGACAGCTATTCATTAGCTGTCCCTCCATCTTGGTCCTGTTGATCCCACACTTGTTTTCTATTCCTGCACTCTCCACATGAAAGAAATGTTCAGCTGCTGACTACTGGCCAGATCAAGAGAATACTTATGGGGTGCCTGGCTGGCTCAGTTGGGAGAGCTTGTGACTTTTGATATAGGGGTTGTGGGTTTGTGCCCCACATTGGGTATAGAGATTACTTAAATAAATAAGTGTGTGTGTGTGTGTGTGTGTGTGTGTGTGTGTGTGTGTGTGTGTGTGTGTGTGTGTTTATGTTTATGGGTTGGGGTTTTTTTGGGTTTTTTTTTTTTTTTTGAGGCAGGCGCAGCCAACTGAAACAAAACAGATTTAAAACCGCAGCTTCTGGAAGAACCATTTGTTCTTACCAGTCTTGTACCTCTCCTCAAACTTGACCTTGGCCTCTTGTCGGGCCTTGAGTTTAAGAGCAGGGTCTCTGAAGACATCCTTATTGACAACAGTTTTGTCCAAGGGAATATCCACAGAGTACCTTGTGGGCATGATAAACTTTTTTTTAAAAAAGAGAGAATACTTTGTTTTAGGCCTTGGAGAAAGATGCCAAGCTGCACATTGAGCCAGGGGGCCTGTGCTTCACACGTGGATCTCACCCAGGACCTGGAAACCACACAGGACAAATGACTGTTGTCTTCTTCTGTGACCTTGGAGGCCTTCTCTATGTGTTGAAAAATAAATTGATCATTGCAGAGCTGACTTTGGAGTCGACTTAAGAGAAGTACATATACAATACCTTTGTTTCAGATGCCTGCAAAGCAGAGTAGTAATTTAGGAAAAGTCCAGGTTTTTTAGGCAGACTTGGGTTTGAACCCTGGTGTTCTGCTTTCAGCCTTTAACTATCCCATTACCTTTCTGTGTCTGGGTCTGCGATTGTCAGATGGTCCGTCTCAAGAAGGTCAGAGAGATAATAGGCACCCAGTGTATCGTATCTTCTCCCCATGGTGATGCTTAGCTCTATTGTTTTGTGGGTCAGTTTACTTAAACAGAAAATGGAAAGTAATGCAGTGACTGTTCTTTGGCGTCTCACCACTGCAAAACCCTTCTCTTTGCAGCTCTGGATTTACTGGACAAAATGTTGACGTTCAACCCTCACAAGAGGATTGAAGTAGAACAGGCTCTGGCCCATCCATATCTGGAGCAGTATTACGACCCAAGTGATGAGGTAAGACCCGTGCTCCTGGTTGCTCCTGCAGGAATATCAGCCAGCAGCAGGCCCAACCAGGAAGGGCCCAGATGTCATACTTAGATTGTCCTGAGAGGTGCATGGTACCACACTTCGTTTTCTCAACAGCCCATATTGTGTGTTTTGAGGTCTAGTGCTGTTGTCGGCACAGCTTGAAACCCTTCCCCACCCTACCCCCCAAGCCTCTTCTATCTTAGAAAACTTCCTCCAGGCCACCTACAGCAGGGGTGGGGCAGGGGAAATGAATGGATAATGGGGAGCATGGATAAAGAAGGGGTCCAAAGACTAGAGACCATTGTTGTGGTCTGTGGCAGGAAGAGCCACCTGAATCAAAGTGCCTGCCCTGAGGGTGGAAAGGAAGTCAGCTGTCTGCTTGGGGAGGGGCTTTGCAAAGTGTGGAGGTCAGCTTGGACAGTTCCCACTGTGGCTTGATGACTTCATGTCTGGTATGCCTCCTTGGGATGGGCACACAAGAGCCTGCTGTGGTAAGACTGGAGGTGGATGTGGCAAGCCTTAGAGCATGTTGGACATCCAGGTAATGTATCATGTTCTCTCCAGGAAAGTCCCAGTTCCTTGGCTTCTTTGATTCTTCTGGGGCTTCAGTTTTAACTTTATTTTCTTTAACTTTATTTTCTGGGCGGTAATGAAGAAAAATGCAATATGAACTAACGTTTGGATCTTTCTAGTTGAGAATCATACATAAACAAGACTCTGCACACTTGTTTTAAATGGGGGGGAAGGGGGAGAACCAAGCAGAATGTGTTAATATTAAAAGGGAAAATGGAAGAAGAAAGGGAAAAAGTATAAAAGTTAAAAGCTGATAAATGAGAGAGAAAGGAGAAACCAAAAAGAGAGTATTTCTCAATCAGCCCCCTTCCATCTCTGTCCCCTCCCCTCAGAAATAATGGAGGCAGCTTGCAAAGATACCTACAGCATAGTAAATAGCAGGGAAATAGGTAAGAGTATAAGGCTTGGGTTCTGACTAGCCCTTTGAGCCCCCCATGTCCTAATTGTGACCTTGGGCAGTACCCCAAACTCAGCAGGACATATATAGGACACCAGTGTGACCCCACACATAGAGCTGTCCTTCAGAGAGGGCTAGCTACTTGTTTTTTTTTTTTTTTTAAGGTTTACTTATTTTGGGGAGGGAGAGAATACCAGTGGGGGAGGGGTTAGAGAGAAAGGGAGACACAGAATCTGAAGCAGGCTCCAGGCTCTGAGCTGTCAGCACACAGCCTGACACGGGGCTCGAACTCACAAACTGTGAGATCATAACCTGAGCCAAAGTCAGATGCTTAACCAACTGAGCCACCCAGGCCCCCCTCTACTTGTTTTTTTCTAATGGACATGAATCCTTTTCCCCCCTTTCAAGAGAACAAAGCTTAGTGCAGAATTTGGGGTCCATGTTTCCCTACCCTAAAGGCCTGGTGTGAGGATCACGTGGATAAAAATCTAGGAGTGCCTGGTGACAGCTGGTATCCTCATCAGATTAGTTCTGTTAACGTGGCATTAGTTTGGGGGTACTTAAAAATCAAAATTTAAATAATATCAATTGACTAATTTCCCTTTTCATCATTATGTATGGGGATTCTTTGATCTAGACATTTTAAATATGTACTTAAGTAGCCTTCTGATTATTTATAGGGTGTGCTGAAAAATGAAAACTTAAAGGAAACTACAACACAGATCACTTTGTAGTCTTGTGACAGTTACTAAGATTTTGGAGTATTTTCTTCCCAGTCTTACATTTCTGTATCTAAATTTTTTTTTAAAAATAGGGTTCATTTTGTTTAACAAACATGTGTATTTCCCCATGATATTAATCTTCCTTGCAGCTTCATTTTTAATGGCTCCATAATATTTCTTCATATGAAGATACTATGATGTATTTAATCAAGTACATTTATTTGAGTATCATCAGTTTTTTTTTTTTTTTTTTTTT